AAAATAAAAACACAGTTAGCTGCAGCTAACATTTCAGTCTGGACTAAAGCTCATCTTCAGTCGTTGCAGGTATTTTCAACACATAGCAGTGATGTCATCGAACACAGGCCTAGGATTAAATCTGGTAGGAGCTCAGGCTCAACCTGTGATCCAGATATTAACAGCAACTAAAATCTACATTAAGGAAGTTTGTCTAGTGCATCTCACAACAGAGACACATTCATCTATGAACTCTGCAGAGGCACAATGTGCAGACACTCGGTATTATTCACACTTTACCTTCCCGAGCAGTTTCACAAATAAGGGCCAGAGCTTCAGGACGTTGGTTTCATTCTTGGACATGAAAAGTTTCTGCAGCTCTGGGATCAGTTTCTGTGAAGAGAGACAGAGCTGCGTTCACAGGAGTTTCTCACATTGAATCATCTTGAACAGTCACATCCTGATGAATATTAAAAAATTTTAAGATCAAATGTTGTAATCTGTAAATATTCTCCTGGGGGCGGAGACTCACCGAGGACATCATTGGCTCGATGATGGCAGCCACCTCAATCTGTTTCTCCAGCAGCAGAGGCATGCCCATCTCCATGGCAGCGGCGGCACGTAGACGCACCTTGGAGGCGGAGTGGACGACCAGAGGAATGACCAGCTTCGCCCAGCGGACCGCTCCGTCGCCCATCTGGACGGGCACCTGCTCCAGCAGCCTTTAAAGACCAGGAGACGTCACAACCCAACTCAGCATCAATATGAAAAGTGCTATACAATTAAATGACAAAACTGTAATTATATGTCGTTTCACTCAATTATGATCAATTAAAACAAAATACAGATTTTTCATCTTGAAGGCAAAATACTTAATGACCACGTGTCAACATTCCTGGGTCAGAAGTTACACAGAGTCTTTATTTTGCACATTTATTTGTCAAATTTAAAAAGGAGGATCTGATTCATGTCCTGTTTGGATTTAACAACAATGCTATACTGTTCTTTTTACCTGATGACAACGTTCAAGGCTTCATGCTCCATTACTACAGACTGGATGTCCTCTCTGCTCCACACACTCTCCAGTGTTCCCAGTATAGACGGCACCTGAGCAGGAGGAAGCGACACGGGTCAACACACACCGGTAGTGACGCATCTGGCCGCTGCTCCGTTTGCAGCCAGATCTCTTTCTTACTTTTACTTTTCTTATTTTGCATTCCAGCGAGACAATGTTTAATTTCTACTGTAACCAGAAGGCCCCGCTCCTCGCCTCCGTAGCTATGGTAACCAAGGTCTTACAGATAAGGATGCGGGGAAAAGAATAACTCAAGCTCAAACCCAGCTCCAGATAAGGATGTGCTGGGAGTAAAGCAAAGGTCAAGACACATGCAGCAGTAAGTAGGTAAGACATGAGACTTATTAGGATGTTGTGATGGGACGCCCGGGTGATATACGCCCGGTCGGACAGGACGTCTTTAGGGAATTGGGTGTGGCATTACTTTAGTTCATGTGACCCTGCACTGCTCATCTGTTCCTCCTCACTGCATCAATCTGACAAAAATACATCTGTCTGAACCGTCTGAAATCTCCTGCTGAACGCGCTTTCGTGCTCACTTTTTTGGCGACTACATCTGGGGGAAAGCTCTGTTTGGAGATGACCCATAATGCCCTGGTGCATGTGTTCTTGTCTGTCGACTTCCCCACCAGGGAGCAAAGTGCTGATAGTATATCTGTGGCGAAGGTTTCTGGGGAAACAAAAACAGAACAATAACGTCACCATCAGCAGTGATTTCATGCCCATAAAACTTAATCCCACCGGGTCAAAGGTTGAGGATGAATAAAATATATAAATTAAAGTACCAGGCACTCTGGAGACGACATGGGAATGGTAAACACAGAACCCTAAAGCTTGCAGGGCAGCTTGGCTCAGCTCTGCATTCGGACTGGTTATGTGAGCCTGGAAACAAACGTGAGAGAAAAGATTATTAGGCATCGTGGATATCAACAGCTTTACTATCAAAATGGAGTTTCAGAGCTTCCTGTGTGTGTGTGTGTGTGTGTGTGTGTAAAAGACTCACCAAGATGGTTTTACCCAAACGAGAAAAGTGCTTTTCAACTGCAGGGAGAAACTGGCGGCCTTCCTCTCCACTGAGCCGACTGCACAGGAAAAATAAAAAGTTATTTTCCTCGCTGCTGTTCCAGTTTTAAACCGAGGATGGGTGAAGACCCGGGACTTGTAACTTACTTGGCGATGGTGAGGTAGGCGTCTGTCTGCTCGGACTGTCCGGCAGCGCCGTCCTCCAGAGATTCCAGCAGAGGGAGGAAGCTGGAGCTGCTCGGAGGCCCCGCCGTCGCCATCATTATTACTCCTCCTCTCCTCAAGGCCTTATAAAGAACAGGAGACGCAGAAAAGTGAGAGTGGGTGACGTCTGCGGTTTCATCCAGAGCTCCTCCTGTCTACGTGTCAAAATGTTTTGCAAGACGCTGAAAACCAAATGCTCCCAGTGTGTGTGTGTGTGTGTGTGTGTGTGTGTGTGTGTGTGTGTGTGTGTGTGAAGGTAAAACAATAAGGTTAAAGACAGAGCAGGAGCAGGTCACAGCAGGGCAAAGACCTGGGCTCAAAAGACACTAAATTAACCTGCACCACGAACCTGGAACAAACTCCCAGAAAACCTGAGGTCTAGTCCAACTCAGTTTGAGTAAAAATCAAGGTTTTAAACTTTTGTTTATTACTGCTTTTCATTAAAGTTAAATTAAAAATAATTAATTTGTCTCTATCCTCCAGATGTTCTGGATCTTCCTCCTCCAGGAGTCCCAGCCTCCTCAAAAAAAAGTAATGAATAAATGAAAACAAATTATTTACACTAATTTTGTTTTTGTAATGTTTGTGTAATTCTGTCCTCTTTCCAGGGCGTGTGGCTCAGGTCTGTCGGCGGCGCCTTGAAGAATCATAATCTATTATAAGCTTTATTTTCAATCATCCTGATCGTGCTCTACTCTGTACACAACATCCATTATATATCTGCAATCAGAGGGTCGGAGGACGGAGGGTGCTTCACACGTTGTAAAGCCCCTTGAGACACACTGGTAATACTGGGTTATAAGAATAATTCTATCTTACTTTGTCTTCATATCCTGCACAAAAACTTTTCTCCTGTTTTACATTCAATTGTTGCTTATTTGGACCTTTTAAGTGATTATGTCTTTTTAGATCCCACATATTTGTCTACTTGTATTGATCTTTTTCTATTGTGTCTGTATATCTTGTCTCATTGCCCCTGACAGAGATGTCACACTGAACTAAAACAAGCAAGGGACAGAAAACAGATGCTCATACCTCAGTGAGATTTATATCGAGCTGCGTTCACCCTCCACTGGATCCAGAGCTGTAAACAGGGGGACAACAAGAAGATAAAAAAAAAGAGTTATAAGTGCACAGATGTGTGTTATAATCAGCTGCCAGTGAAGTTATCTCATCACTGTGTGTGTGTGTGTGTGTGTGTTGGATGCTACAGAGGCCATCACATCAGCCCCAACACCAAAACAAGTCAGTGTCCTGCTGAAACAACACCTGGGAACTTATTCGACACAGCCCACGAGTTGTAACAGAAGAAAAGCAGCTACTCAGACGCCACATTATTGAATGCAACAGCCCTGAACCATGCGGGGAACCAGCCAGCAGCCTGCTAACGTTAACTAGCTTCTTCCAGTTAGCAGCGCTAGCAGGCAAAAGTTTGTTGCGCGCACACAGGTGGACAACACGGCTGCCAACACCGCCTCACATGTCCGTGGTGACGTGATATTGTTTAGACTCACAAACAGGTAAACACATAACGCCAAAGACAAGTATTTGTGTTTGTTTGTTTTGTGGACGCGACGCGCAGCAGCGGCTGCTCACCTTTCGGGACGAAGAGGAAACAGCAGAAGTGACACAGCATCAAAGCCGGAGATAGAGCACCGGCGGTCCGCTTCACCTCCCGACGTTTCAGACGCTTTAATCCGCCGTTCGATGTTGAATATCTCCGCTTCCTTCTGCTGCTCTGCTGCTCCTTGTGCTGGTACCCCGCGAAATCTGGCTGGCGCCAAACCACCACGCCGACGTACAAAATTACCTTTGACCCTTACTACGTCACACACGGGACCGCCCATTTTTACCGTATAAGGAAAGCAGCAAACTGACCGCTTTAAAAAAAAAACAAAAAAACAATGATATTCAGCTATCAATAACCATTAAAACAGTTCTACACTGATTTCCTGTTTGTGTTTAACACCGTGTCTCCACTTGTATCACGTCCTGTGCAAATGTTTTTTATTTGTTTATTTTATTATTCAAAACATTTTCAATTTCATCTAATTAAAACAATTAAACATTGAAAAAGGAGGAAACAATTCTAATAAAATAAAATATAAAATATGAACAATACATATGGATTAAATAAATACAATAAAAGGAAATAAATGAAACATATAAATAAGGATGATGAAACAAAAATAATAAACAAAAGTATTGCAAAAGGACAAATCCAAACTATATACACAGAGGAACCACGAAAGAAAACAAAGATATTAAAGGAAAATATTTAAGGATTTACAAGTTCTACTGTTTTTACTGCTTTACTGTTCTTCAGTCCATGTAATGAATTAATATAGTATCCAGTTATTATTTTGAATTGTTGTGTGACTATGGGACAGGACACATGTTGAGTTGTGTCACATGAAATCTTCTTCTTCTTCTTCTTCATCATTAAATTGGCAAAACTTCATCAAGAAGCACTGACAGCTTGGTTAAAAGTTTACAAACATAACTTTTTGCCCCATAGATTCCTCATATGGAACAATGAAGACATCTGATATAAAAATAAGACTCTTTTCTATCACTCCTGGTTTGATAATTACAGAAGAGCATTAGGGCCACATGTGAAAAAAACATTATTTAATTTAATTCTTATTCATCATCTTACAAAGAATTTCTTGATTAATTGAAAATACCTATAAAACCACAGGTGTATGCCATGGTTTTCGATGCTATACCAATGTTGACTTTGCCAAATAAAGTTGCTTAAATACATAATAACAGTGATATAATACAAACAAGATAATTCAAGGTGTTTATATAACAAGAAGAAGCAGGTAGCTACTCGTTGATGAAGTCGGAAATTAGTTCAGAAGCGTTTGCAATTGTGAAATAACATGTCTTGAACTAAGATTAACACGTGGAACAAGATCGTCCAGTATGCAACAAACCAAGCAATTACAACCTGTAACTGAACCCAATGAAAAACAGGCCAGAGACACAACCCTGGAGTCAATATAGTATCTGAAATAAATCCACTGAATATATTACAGCCAGTGAAAATATATATTAAGAAAAAGAGTTGTATAACAGCTTTGTTTTTTTTATATGTATGCAATGTTTTCACTGAAATAGTTTCAAGTAAATTACAATGAATCTGTGGCACTCGATCTTTTTATGGATGATAAAAGATGCAGAAATAAGTCACTAAAAACAGAAGCACCAGTGTTAATTTAACTTTGCAGCCTGAAAGTCGGGGAAAGGTTGAATGGGAATAAATGGAAACCAGTTTTATTTTGTCTAAAGTAGGTTCAGCCTCAGGACCAGTGAAGACAGTGTTTCTATAACATAAGAACAATATTAGAAACACGATTTAACGACCTTGTTTATTTGACAGAATGATTCCTTTAATGAGCTATAAACACTCATTTATTACAGTACACGAGGTAACCAATAACATTATAAATACAGCAACAGGATGACATCAGTGTGTTAAACCATTAGTCAGTGAAAATAGTCGGTGTAATTGTGTGGGAACAGAGATGCATTAAAGGTAGTGTATTGTAGCTGGAAGCCGCCGGCTGTGACTGAAGCGTCGGAGAGGAACTTTAACGTCATCACGTTTCCTGTAAAACAAAAACAAAAACAAAAATAAAACACATCAGTGCGACAAATCTCTCCTCTTAGGTAACATAGACATATTGTATGTTGACGTCTCACCTGTGCTGATGATATCATCAGGTAAATAATCGCCACAGAACCTGTAATCAAACAGATTAAAAAGGGAAATTCACATTAAACTTTCATGTCAGATCAAACACGTGGTGTTTATCGAACAAAGAGCAAAAGCCATACGTTTTTACAGCTTCTCAAATGTCAGGATTTGCTGGTTTTCTTTATCTTTCCCTTGAATATCTTAATTTCTTTAAACTGCTGGCTGGTTTTGATGAACATTTTCATTATTTCCTGCCATTTTACAGACGAAATTATTACATGCTAAATTGAAAAATGTTGTTGACTATTTAGTTGCAGCCCTGATAAATAATGTGAGATGTCCTCACCTCCCAGCAAAACCAGAGACATCATCGTAGCTGTCGTACACCTCCAGGTAATCTGCAATGCACGCCATGTCGTCCTCCACGTCAAACTCCAGGAAGCGGAGGCGGATCCTCTGGCCCAGGCGGACGCGGATGTGCCAGTAGCAGATCTGTTCGTCCTGGTACTCCTCAGGGAAACCTGGGGACTGAATGATCTTCTTCTGATCTGTCAGCACGCCACCACACTCCTTGGCTGTGAGACACATGAACGACACGTAGTGATTGGTGTGTGATTTCAAATGAACACTGTGAGGTCAGACAGATCCTGCTGCTGCTTTTCTAGAAGAAACCCTGTCGACTCCTGAATAACTCCTGTAGGGACCAATAGAGGTCGCTGGCTGCTACTGACCAAAATAGTTCCCTCCACAAACAGAAGTTGGCTCATGGACACGATGTCAGGCTGAATGAAAGGTCTGATTATCAGATTTTCTCACTGCTGGAGTCAAAGTTAAAGTTAATTTTCAGAACCATCTCAGCTCTTTCTACAATGACGCCACTTTTAGACCCTCATAGCCCAAATGCTGAAAAACTGAAGCCTGGTTTTTGAAATTCTCCACATCACTGATGCGGATGAATTGTAAATGCATTTACCAAAGTCTTAGGTTCATAAAAAACATTGCAATATATGAGTGAAATAGTAGATAAATGTATAATAAATGCCTAAAATGAGATTTTTGTGACATCACTGAGTCGCTGACTGTCACTCTGTTTTAACTCAGTTTTAGAGGCCTGCTTTGATGCTCCTCGCCCCGGCTTTGAGTCATGTACAATCTCGCAAGAATATGAAAAGAAAAAGTGGAGAGTCGACAGATTTCAACAACATTTAAACCATATTTCTACGCTGTATTATCGCAAAGATATTGATAGAAACATCTGTCGACCTCACAAGTTTTTTTTTTTTACCCCGACTGATAAAACATACTTTAAAATACTGGTTTTTGCAAAGTAACATATTCCATGCCTGCACATGTGCAAGAATACCCACTCACATGCATTTAATACACTGACAATACACGGTGTATATATAGTGGATAACCGCAGACACATTTCACATCTCTACAGTGAAAGGCAGCTCTGTGAACCGGGGACACGGATGAATTTCGGTGTCTGTGTTCTCAGGCGAAATGACCGCTGGAGTCGTTCCCCACGATGTATTCCTTTAATCAGCTTGTGGGATTCTACACGAGAAGTATTTTTGGTTTGGGGGTCTGTCTCTTGCGTGTGAGCTCCGAATGAATTCAGAATAACCAAAATGAAATCCTGTAGCCGAGTAAAGGAAATCAAACACACATGTCGAGGCTGGTGACAAAGGGCATCAAAAGCTTTTTCCTCCAGACGTCCTCGAGGGAAATGAAAATTAATGTTGTTTGAAATCCTTTCTCATTTGTGGATCTTTACAACGTTAAGCCGACGTCCATCGCCGGGTTTACGCTTCAGCCGAGATGTCTGACTTGGACGGAGAGACGACCTCCGGAGCTGATGAGTGGGTGACCAGGAGTTATGGAACGTTTATGCAGCAGAGGATTACAGAGGAATAAACTTGATGCGATCATGCTCACGGGAAACAGCTGCTCCCTCCTCTCAGTCAGGAGAAATTACTTCTGATTTCATTCCCATTTCTTTTAAAAATGTCTCATTAGTAGTTTACCATAGTTTGTCCACCAGAGAGCGCCTACGGGTTTCTCAACTGTACAATGTCCCACCGAATGAGTGCATCTATTGATCACTATTCTTTAACAACCAACCCTCTCAGCTTTTTGGAGCGTTTGTTTTATGTCTCGCAGCTTTATCATCTTGGTTCACTCTCACTGCTCCAGTCAGGTTAAACGCCAGATGTTTCCAGTGAAAAGCTCAAAGGTTTTTCCACCGTCTTCTACCTGCTCAGTCAGAGACCGACTGGTGAACATGGTGGAGGATTTAAGGTTGGATATTTTCCTAAGAGTTAGCGGAGATCAAAACAGAGCTAAAAGAAGAGAGAATGGATGTGTGAGCGTGCACCTGTTTGCAGGTGATAATACATCAGTGTTGTGTTTATAGTTTCTTTTTCCGCTGCTTCAGCCAATATGTAATCATCCCAGTATCAAATATTCATTTTGGTTTCAGGCTAATATTGAAATATTAGTTCAGACTCTGGTGAATCATGCGGGTGTGGTGCTCACTCAGGCTGGCCTTTGTTATCACTTACTCAGTTCTCCACCAGCATCTTATCCAGACTGATGTTCTTACTTCCTCCTGGTTTATTCTTGGTCTGAACGTGATAACTCACAGGGCGGGAGTGAGACTGTGGCTTTGAGTCAGTCCTTACTCACACTGGTCTCACTGTGCTGGTTTAGTTCCTCTATACTATAGAGGAACTAAACTATACTATAGAGGAACTAAACCAGCACAGTGTGAGACCAGTGTGAGACCACAGGGATGGTATAGAGTCTATACCATCGCTCCTGTTTGACTTCAAACAGCAGTGATGACAAAACCCTGAGTGAGTCTGTGGAGCCTCAGACTTGATGACTACTTAACCTATGGGGCCCGGGTCTCGCCCCCCGGCTGACATGTAACCACAGGCCCACAGTCATCACTTACACTTCAAACCACACAAACCCTCCTGAGCACTGAGACATTTTAAATAATTTTAAATAATACAACACGTCCTGTGTTCAGACAGTTACTGAACATGCTGGTAAACACTCAGACATATCAGCATTAAACCACGCTCAATAAATCAATAGTTTTTATATTCAAACTTAACTGAACAACTCATGAACCAATAGAGAATAATTACAACATCTTTACAAACTTTTATAAACTTCTGTCTCTATTAGATGTATCAACAAAAACTGCTGACAAATCTATAAAGTGACGATGTCAGGAACATTTTTATTGTATAGTGTTTATTTTTATAGCGTTAAATATCTGATTATCTGGATTTGCAGTGGTTTGGATGCATTTATGTATATTTGTGTGACTTTTGCATGATGTAGTTTTTTTATGTTGCATCTTGTTGCCTCTCACATACACTGGCCTAGCACTTTGCAGGGCTATGCCACATCACATAGACACAATTTGAACACAACCTTGACTTCACCTTGTAAAGTTGTAAATGGCCGACGTGTTACCAAACAGTTACCTACTGACACGTCCCACAGGTGTTGCTACCTGACGGGAAATATCTGGTTCTTTAGCTGCTAAATGCTCCACTGTGTTCAGCAGCTAGAGTCGCTAACTCTTGAGTGTTTGCTGTTTGGTGCAGAGCAGCTAGTGGACGGTGGGTTTTAGAGACTTTTCTCTAACTGCAGCTGCCAGAACAGAAGATTAAAGCGGCAGAGTTGGGTGATCAGTTGTTGTATAAAAACACTGGTTAGTGCAGCTTTAAGTACAGTACCTAAATAGATGTACATGTACTCACAGTTGGGGTTGTAGCAGTACACGTCCCACTTCTCGCTTTTGTTCAGCCTGTATCCGTAGTCGATGATGCCAACCTTCCCGAAGCCGCAGTTTGCCCCAGCTTTGACGATGGGGTAACCAACACGCCCTCTGTCGAACCATCCGGCCGCACACACGTGGAAACCTCAACAAGAGAGGAAAAACATCTGTTTTTTCAAGGGAGCAGTTACCCCTGAGAATGACCCTCTCACTTTTCAAAACTCCCAAATGTCCCATTTTTTTTCAGGGTGATTTTCAAACTAAAACCTCTGTGAACGTTGTCCACTGACTGTCCAGCTGCAAAAAAAACAAACAGACACAACAATACTTCTGCAATCTGAACTGATCTACTCTTAACACACTTCTAAAAAGACGTTAGACAGGGATCTTTGTAGTAAACATGCAAGTAATTATCTATCAGAAAGTATAGGTGTCTATAAACAAATACACACAGAATAAATACAGTACTGTAAATCTATTCCTGCCAACCACAGAGAGTCTTTCTTCCGGCTCGGCCATCAGGGCCTCCTGTAGGGAAAACCTTCTGGAGACCATTAAAAGAGTCTTTGTTTTATTTTGTTGGTTTTTCTCATTTGTGGTGACAGAGCTCAGCGTGGAGTTACAATGAGCAGACCCCGGCCAGAAGATAAAGCAGGGACCTCCGAGGCAGAGAGGGGAAACTTTCAGCTGACAGGGAGGTGGATGGTGATGCCAGAGCCGGTGGCTGGATCCAGACTCTGTGCCACGGGAACAGAGAGATAAACCCAGCCAAGAAGGTGTTAACAGGTTTTTTTTTGTGCTGTTTTTGTTTTTTTTATAATCTTCATGTGAGCGTTTAAGATTGGGCAGAGTCATGCAAAGGAGAAGCTCTCGTGGAAAGAAGTGATTCACTCCCTGACCTTTACCCTATGAACATATTAACCTCTTTTTTTTCCCTTGTTAAAAGCATTCCAGTGGCTTCAGACGTGTCTCTCTACTGTTACATCACGGCAGAGATTATGTTGATTTTATTTCATGGGAGAGAAGCAAGATAAACACGGCCGACATGGTAATGTAAACTGGTTGTGGTTACACTGTTAGGTTAATGGGTCAAACAGCAAACCGTGACTCGTGGGAGCGAAGTGTTGGCAATGAGAAAGTGAGCTTTAATTCCCTTCGTCATTGGCAGGAGCTCTGCATGCGTCGTTGTGGATGTGTTTGAGTGAGCGAGCTGGTGCAGACCTATTTGCCGAGCCGCCTCCAGTTGTTCGTAAGTGGCCAGGTTCCCTCCCTCGTACTTGCAGACCGCCTTGGCCTCTTTATACGTCAGCTGGTATCTCCCTTTGCGAGATTCCCGGTGGTAAACTCCAGCTGCCTGTTCTGTCAAAGAGAGGGAAAACAAATGTGCTGCTGAATGTGTGTAAAGAGCGAGGGAAACGCCTGAAAGAAAACCTGCATGAGCTTCTGTGTAGCAACCGCATTTACTTGTATCTAAGCGACCTGATGATACACTTTTGAAAAGGTCCAAACACACAACCGTGGGGCTGCAGTCAGGCTGGTGACAGTGTTTTCAGTGAGAGAGCATGAAACAGTGAAGGGGGCCGATTCACCGTGTGACATTTTTCTTCATGTTGGAAGCTCACCAACAATGTGGTCACTTGCTCCCCAGCCTCCTCATTTGGGAGTCCTCTGCTGATCCTGTTTTGGCTTTACGCACGCATGACTTGCAAAACTAGGCCGAAAGCACTGAGAAATTAGCTTCAAGTTCACGTTTTGATTTGATCTTTTCGTATGTTTGCTTTTAAGCTAATTAAACTGTCATGCAACAGGAGTCACGACTGATGACTCTGATTCTGACTGATTCTGCTGCTGCTGTTTTGTCCCATCTGAAACTTCTTATGCTGCCTGGTCTCCCTCACAAATGAGGTTTCAGACTTCAGTGGGACTTAGCTGGTTTAATAGTTAAAAAATATTGCATACACTTTGCCCCAATCTGTATGGCACTGTGCACACACAGTGGGCTTCTGAAACTTTCAAGAGGCAAGTGCGAACGTAATCTGCCATACCTGAGCACAAAGTTAACGCAACACGGGATAGAAGACAAAAGTTGCATGAATAATAGTAAATGATGTTAAGGTGAACTCATTAGCAATATGAAACACTGTTCTGTTATAAGGCAGGCTTTCACTCTCACCTCATAAAAATACAAAGAGTAAGGTAGAGTCAGAGGTGCATGTTTGCAGCTTGTTTGGTTTATATTTCAGTATAAATGCAACAGGACTTCACGCTGTGGTGTCAATCTTATGTCAAAATTCAAAAGATAAACTAACAGAAAGATAAATTAATTGAACTATCTTTTCTTATATTTGTATTTTGAGCTGAAGCTGAAAAGATTAAGTCATTCCCCCCATGTTTAGTGGCCTCATGCACTAACTCAGCCAGGTCATAAACATGCAGTTTGGCACTGAGTGGAAAGCTGCTGGACTGCTGCATACAGCCCATTAATCCTTCATGTTTCCTCACAATATGCCTTTTATGTGAAGATGTAGTGCTGTGTTTGCAAAAAAAATAAAAGTTAAATAAAAGTTCTCACAGTTAACAGCAGATGATTCAAACTTAAAATTCAACGGTTAATAACATTCAATCTGCAGCCTGATAATTAAAAACTGCAGATTACACTGAGTTTGATCAACAACAGTCATGTTAAGTGAAACATAAAAGTTAGATGACTTTGAATATCGGTCGTTAGGTTCATTTGTATCCCGATTGTTCACGATGGAGAAAAGGTGAAGTTGTCCCCGCGTGACCGACATGTTTTAAAGCTGCAACGACTACAACAGCGAGAATAAAAAACAATGAGTTATTTACCCAGCCATATCGAGTTGTGAAATATTCCGTTTTTGTAGCCCCATGCCTGCGCCTCCTTCAGCAGGAAGCCGAGTGTCCAGATGAGAGCGAAGACGCGCATCCTTCAGTCTGTGCGCAGCGGCTCTGTCCAGATGTTTCCAGGAGATCCCTCCTCTGCTCGTCTGCTCCTCTGCTGCCTCTGGCTTTATATACGAGACACTCACTGCGGCTGCCTCCCGAGAGAGGTGGGAATGTGAATGAGTAAGTTCACCCAAGTCCTGTGAGTGCATTAAACACAACTGATGGTCACGTTAGACTATTTACACGTTTTGTCCTGTTTTTCTTCAGAAGAAGTGGAAGAAATACAGGGCTGCCAACTTTTCAAAAAGCCTTGGAGTGAGATTTTGCGGGGCCAACCAAAATGTTGCCGTATACACGCCAATTTTTTGTTTGGCCCATTGCCATACAGCAAAAGACATTTACCGCTTACCGTACATCAGTGGTTCTGAATGTATTAGCCTTAGGCCCTACTCAGAGTGTACAAATGGAACCAATTGAATCCACAGTAAGACACAAGACACAGCATGGCCCATTTTGTGCATTTATTTTATATGTATGTTGAAACATTTAAATAAAAATGAAAAACCCCAAAACATTTTTTAAACATCCCTGATCTATATGCATCTAATAATGCAGAGGTTAATGTACAGTAGGGGGAGTAGGGAAAGCTGCCATTTTCAAACTAACAAAACAGACTACTCATCTCAGGCTACTCATCTCAGTCCTTGATGGCTGTGTGCTTGGTTGTACTTGCTCGTGGCCTTTTTTGAGGCCTTGATGATGTCCTGGGAGGGCTCCCACTTGAAGCAGGGCTCCAGGCCAGCCATCTTGATTTAGGTTTAATAAAAGTCATGTTAGTTTAATAATTATGCACTAGTATATTAGTTACAATATGCTTTTTTCTGGCGTACAATTTATGTTGGGCTTATTCTGAATTCAATTTTAATATAGCTTAAAGGAATAGTTCACCCTAGAAACAAAATTCAGTCAATATCATGTGTGCTTTTTTCTTCCAAAAAAGTCCATTTAGAGACCCCCGGTGAGCCAGTCCTGCAGCGAAAATACTTTGAATGGCCGTCAATTGCGACCGACACGAAGACGTCCATAAAACTACACAAAAACTTTGTAATATTCCTCCATACTGCTCGTCCGCGACAATCCAAGTGTCCTGAAGTGGGAACATCCAGAGTTTGCTCGCAACAACGTTATTTAGTACATGTTTCTAGCCGAAAACAGTGGATATGGTCAGCCAGCCCAGATGCGCACAGAGGCAGCTTCTTCATGGCATATCACAGATAGATCTATCTCTATAGCTCTGGCCAGGACGAAACTCAGCGTGAGAGTTGGCAGCCTTGCATTCCTTTGAACAGAATGGCAATGGGGTTAATAGGGCAGAAATAAGTGGCTGCAGATTGCCTTAAAAGGTCAACTGTGTAACTGGTGCTGGATGTCCCGAACAGTCCGTCTCATCTTGTAACACCACTTTGTTCCTCAAGAGGTGATAGCGAGTCACTGTTGCACCATAAACTTATCATATAACTTACTAATAGAACTAATGCTAATGCTAGCTGCTAATGCTAGCAATCTAGCCCCCCAACCCCCTTGTGTTCTGTTTGTCCCTTTTCACCAATAAAAACTAAAAAAAAAACTAATGCTAATGCTAGCTGCTAATGCTAGCAATCTAGCCCCCCAACCCCCTTGTGTTCTGTTTGTCCCTTTTCACCAATAAAAGCTAAAAAAAAACCCTTAATGCTAATGCTAGCTGCTAATGCTAGCAAGCTACCCTCCCACCCCCTTTGTGTTCTGTTTGCCCCTTTTCACCAATAAAGACCAAAAAAAAACAATGCTGATGCTAGCTGCTAATGCTAACGGGAACGGCGGCTAGCTCGCGAGTGCAGCTGAGGTAGCGCCTCTGTGTCTCCATATGTCCTGGATGTGGAGAGAATCCAGCAAAGGGACGTCCAGGGTGATGTGGAGATCCTGGATCCTCCGCCCCATGTGTCCTCCAACAGCGGAGCCTCCACTCCTCCCAGGAGATCCTCAGGATCACCTTGGCAACAGTCTGGCTGAGCATCACGCACTTCCCCTCCAGGTAGGACCGCCACTGCCTCAATGAGAAGGCAAGCTCCTCCGGGGGTCCACATCGAAGATGCAGCGTCATCAATCCGGCCACCATCTTGGAAAGTCAACATACCAACATTGGTAACCCAGGCAGCTGTTTCAGAAGCAGCACCAGTGAGCTTCTTTGTTGCCTGGAGGGAGAGAGAGACAGAAAGGTTTCAAATGTTAATATCGCAGCAGTAGTGTGAAAGCAGCTGTAAGAACATGTACTCTGCCTGAATTAAACCTCATCCTAGAGAAACTCCCTGGTGGGAGGCACCCGTTGGGGAAGAATACTAGAGATGGCTGTTGGACAGATATATCAGTTACACATACAGTGCATTTAGAAAGTACTCACTTTTTTACATTATTACATTACGTTATTATTACATTATTTTGCAATCTAATAACTTGTTAAATTCATTCATCAGTGAACAATGCCAGCAAGATGGCTGCTAATGCTAGCAAGCTGGCCCCCCCACGTGTTATTTTGCAAACTTGTAATTAAATCATCGAATTCATTCATCAAAGACCAATGCTGTTATCATCATTATCATTTATTGCAGCTATTATATATCATTGTTAGCAATGTCATCGTTATTTTCACAATTATTGTCTGGTTGTCACAGCTGCTAATGCCAGCTAGCCCCCCCCCCCCACACACACACACTTGTTATTTAGCACTCTTGTGATATCATTAAATTCATACATGAAAAATGAAATCGAGCTAGCCCGCCCATGTCACCTTGTTTGACCTTGTTTTTCACCAAGACAAAATAAAATAATGCTAGCTGCTAATGCTAGCAAGCTACCCCCCCACCCCCTTTGTGTTCTGTTTGCCCTTTTTCACCAATAAAGACCAAAAAGAAAAAATGCTAATGCTAGCTACTAATGCTAGCAAGCTAGCCCCCCACCCCCTTTGTGTTCTGTTTGTCCCTTTTCACCACTAAAGACAAAAAAAAGCTAATGCTAGCAAGCTACCCCCCCCACCCCCTTTGTGTTCTGTTCACTCCTTTTCACCAATAAAGACCAAAAAGAAAAAATGCTAATGCTAATGCTAGCTGCTAATGCTAGCAATCTAGCCCCCTACCCCCTTGTGTTCTGTTTGTCCCTTTTCACCAATAAAAACAAAAAAAAACCTAATGCTAATGCTAGCTGCTAATGCTAGCAATCTAGCCCCCCACCCTTTTTGTGTTCTGTTTGTCCCTTTTCACTAATAAAAAATAAAACACTTCTCAAACAGATTCAGTAAATACTGAACATTATAATCCTCATGAAGGAGGATTTACTGCAGGCCTGTTCCATTATACTGCATTAGTTTCATCCAGGTTCACCTAATACATATATATGAATTAAAAATAGAACTCAAGGACACAAGTGCTGAAACAAATCAGCCCTTTATTTCAAGTTTACCCAATATACAGCAACACTTAATAAAATGCATTTCTTTGAACAGAACAGTAATGGGGTTAATGGGGCAGAGATAAGTAACTGCAGACTGTCTTAGAAAGGTTCACTGTGTAACTGGTGCTAGATGTCCTGAACTGTCCGTCTCATCTTGTAATACCACTGTCACTGTAGCGCAATAAACCTATCATAAACTAACTAATAGAACTTGAGGTACAGGTGAAACTGATGATCTCTCTACGGGGCTCCTCACCCTGTGATAGTGAGTCATGTGATGACCTTAGTTTTCTCAACCGATGCCCATCCATCCACTGCACCACAGCACATGATGCACTGTCCACGACCTCCTCAGCAGCAAACAGCAGACAGACACGGTCCGAGAGCAGCTGCTGAACATATGGAGCAATAAGAAGCTAAAGAGACAGATTTCCCTCAGGAGCTGGTGGAAACCAAATACAGAGCTAAAAGAGAGGGAACACTGGACTGACATCATCATGAGACATCAGGTGACACAAACACCACTCCAAATGCAACAAATCAAATATAATAAATGTCAATTAAAAGTTATAAATGAAGATAGAAAACATTGTCCTGTCTTCTCTTCATCTCTTCCCTCCACAGTCTTTCCACCAACAGTCACATGTTCTGATTGTCTGAGTTTTTTACCAATGAAGAATAAAATAAAATACAAATGCTAATGCTAACTGCTAATGCTAACAAGCTAGCCCCCATCCCATGTTCTGCTTGTCCCTATTTTTTCACCAATAAAGAATCAAATAAAAAATGCTAATGCTATTGCTAGCTGCTAATGCTAACAAGCTAGCCCCCACCCCACGTTCTGCTTGTCCATGTTTTTTTCACCAATAAAGAATCAATAAAAAATGCTAATGCTAATGCTAGCTAGCTGCTAATGCTAACAAGCTAGCCCCCACCCCACATTCTGCTTGTCCATGTTTATTTCACCAATAAAGAATCAATAAAAAAAGCTAATGCTAGCTAGCTGCTAATGCTAACAAGCTAGCCCCCACCCCACGTTCTGCTTGTCCATGTTTTTTTACCAATAAAGAATCAATAAAAAAAATGCTAATGCTAATGCTAATGCTAATGCTAATGATAGCTAGCTGCTAATGCTAACAAAAACGGCGGCTAGCCCGCGCCCCCCCAGCACAGGCATTGCGCCCAGCAAGCAGGGCTAGCCGCCCGGCGGCTAGCCCGCGCCCCCCCAGCACAGGCATTGCGCCCAGCAAGCAGGGCTAGCCGCCCGGCGGCTAGCCCGCGCCCCCCCAGCACAGGCATTGCGCCCAGCAAGCAGGGCTAGCCGCCCGGCGGCTAGCCGCGCCCCCAGCACAGGCATTGCGCCCAGCAAGCAGGGCTAAGCCCGCCCGGCGGCTAGCCCGCGCCCCCCAGCACAGGCATTGCGCCCAGCAAGCAGGGCTAGCCGCCCGGGGCTAGCCGCGCTCACGCTAGAAGCACGAAACATATGAGAGCCAGAGTTGTTGGGTGATTTCGGCTAGGGGGGTTCAAGTTCGGGGGCTAAGTCCGGGGCTTTCCAGTCGGGGGCTGGTTGTCTGACAGGCAATGCCTGTGCTGGGGGGGGC